AATGGACTGGGCACACATCAGTGAATAAAACAGACACAGCTGCTGCCTCGCTGGTGCCAGCAATGCAGGGGCAATCAGAAGATGGAATTACAAGATGTGATGAGCGTGGCTAGTATGATTTAGAGCGTGAGTGTATGTGTGTGTGTGTGTATGTGTGTGCGTGTGCACGCTCATGCACTCGAGTGCATGCATACGCTCTGGTACTGGGGCTTCAACTCAGGGGCTCAGCTCTGTCCCTGAGCTTTTTTACTCAAGGCTAGCACACTATGACTTGAGCCACAGCTCTACTTCTGGCTTTTTGCTAGTTCATTGGAGGTAAGAGTCACAGAGACTTTCCTGCTCTAGCTGGCTTTGAACCATGGTCCTTAGATCTCAGCCTTCGGAGTTTACTAGAATCTCAGGCATGAGCTACCAGTGTCCAGTGAGGTCAGTTTTAATAGTTAAAAAAAAATTAGTAAATTGGGCACCGATGGCTCACGCCTGTCATCCTAGCTACTCAGGAGGCTGAGATCTGAGGATGGCGGTTCAAAGCCAGCGTGGAAAGGAAAGTCTGTGAGACTCTTATCTCCAATGAATCACCAGAAAAAACGGAGGTGGTGCTGTGGCTCAAGTGGTAGAGTACTTGCTTTGAGCTGAAGAGCTCAGGGACGGTGCCCAGACCCAGAATTCAAGCCCCATGACTGACAAAAAAGGAAAAGAAAAGAAAGAAAGAAAAAAGAAAAATTTGTCAGCTGGGGTTGGGTGCTCATCCTTGTAATCAAGGCTACTCAGGAAATTGAGAAGTGAGGATGGGGATCAATGCCAGCGAGAGCATACCAGTGACAAAACTGTTTCCACTTAGCTAGCACAAAAGCTGACCTGAAGCTATGGCCCAAGCGATGAGTGTCAGCCATAAAAGAAATAAAGCTGACCAATAGGGTAAGTTCCTGAATTCAAGCTCCAATACCAGCAAAAGAAAATATATATATATTATTTGGTTTAGCTTATTATATTCTCCATCACTCAGCAAGGTTAATATGACAATTATAAATTCTTTATTTTTATTTATTTATTTATTTGTGGGGCCTGAACTCTGGGCCTGGGTGCTGTCCCTCAGATCTTCAGCTCAAGGCAAGAGTTCTACCACTTGAGTTGCAGTGACACTTCCGGTTTTCTGGTGGTTGATTAGAGATAAGAGTCTTGTGGACTTTCCTGCCCAGGCTGGCTTTGAACCGCAATCCTCAGATCTCAGCCTCCTAAGTAGCTAGGATTACAGGCATCTTTTCTTTATTTTTTAGGTCCAAGACCAGGACTTGAAGTTGGTACCTGCCACTTGCACTCAATGGCTAGCGATTTACCAACTGAGCCATACCTCCAATCTCTATAAATTCCTTTCTATGCCAAAATACTATTTACAAAAATGAGTAAAGCTGGGCACTGATGGCTCAAACCTGTAATCCTAGCTACTTATAGAAGGCTGAGATCTGAGCATCATGGTTCAAAGGCAGGAAAGTCCATGAGACTTTTATCTCCAATTAACCACCAGAAAGCCAGAAGTGGCGCTGTGGCTCAAGTGGTAGAGCACTAGCCTTGAGCTGAAGAGCTGAGGGACAGTGCCCAGGCCCAGAGTTCAAGCCCCACAACCGACCAAAAAAAAAAAAAGATCAGATTCAATGAGGACAGGAAAGGATTGGGCCAGGGTGTAGGTCAGTGGTAGAGCATTAGCTGAAGCTACATTGGGATCTTTGTTCAGTCTTCCACTAAAACACGAACAAACCATCTTCACAGAAAATCATGGCATTTGCATGCATGTGTATTGTTAAAACTCTGATATGAATGTCAGTCAATTACTCAGGAGGCTGAGATCTGAGGTTCAAAGTTTGAAGCCAGCCAGGGCAGGAAAGTCTTTGAGACTCTTATCTACAATGAACCACCAAGAAGCTGGAAGCGGAGCTGTGGCTCAAAGTGGTTGAGTGCCAGCCTTGAAAGAAAAAGCTGAGAGATAGTGCTCAGGCCTTGAGTTCAAACTCTAGTAGCAGCATACACAAGGTAGGAAGGAAGGAAGGAAGGAAGGAAGGAAGGAAGGAAGGAAGGAAGGAAGGAAGGAAGGAAGGAAGGAAGGAAGGAAGGAAGGGAGGGAGGGAGGGAGGGAGGGAGGGATGAAGGAAGACTCTGGTATGGGTGTAGTGGTACATACCTACAATCCCAGCATGCAGGACTTTGCAAATTTGAGCCATTCTGGGCTCTACAGCAAGAGTCTATCACAAGAAACAAAACCTAGACAAACAAAGATTGCAAGGCTGTTCCTATGGTCAAATCCCTGGAAGCCTGATGGACGGATTCCACGTTGGGGATTTGTACGTCGCGGTTCCAGCAATGGCAGCTGTGTACATGGCCATTTGGTCAGTAAGTGTCTCCTAGCAGTGTGAAAATGCCAGTCTGGTGCGGCCACTGCTCTTAGCCACCGTGGACAATCAGCAAATCCCTTTAAGGGAGCAAAATCCTGCCAAAATGCTTATATAACAGTTGAGGATTATTTGTTTGGCTTTGAAAAATACCTAAACACATGACACACTATGTCTTTCACTGAATTTTCTAAATTATGGAGAGAGAACCCTTTTCTTGTAACTATGAATATGACACTCAGGGTTCTGATGATGCTTGCCATGGCTGAGCTCATTTCATTCTAGTTTTGCCACTGACAGTTACGTGGCATTCAGTGGTTATTCAACTCCTTTCTTGAAAATAATATTTTTTTTCTTGGTACTGGGTCTTGAATTCAGGGCCTGGGCACTGTCCCTGAGTTCTTGGTCATGGGGCTTGAACTCTGGGCCTGGGCGCTGTCCCTCAGCTCTTCAACTTAAGGTGAACGCTCTACCACTTAAGCTACAGTGCCACTTCCGGTTTTCTGATGGTTTATTGGAGATATGGCCTTTCCTGCCAGGCTGGCTTTGAATCCTGATCCTCAGATCTCAGCCTCCTGAGTAGCTAGGATTGCAGGCATAAGCCACGGGCACCCAGCTCATGAAAAACCCTTTGATGTCACCCAAACACTTCAGGATGAATTGTATGTGCCTATCAGCCTATAAAACCTTCAGAGCACAATACAAATTTGCAGTGTATTGTGGTTCAGTGCTGTTTTTCATTCCTGTGCAGAAATTAATTAATGACTCCCCTTGTTAACATCTTATGCAAAATTTCCCTGTGGTTCCCTTAGTTAAGCCCTGCTTAAACAGATCAATTTCATTGGATCTTGTTTCCATTCTCCTGGCTGCATTTGGAGCCTTAGATGAAATTTGCTGTTGAGAATGTGTGTGTGTGTGTGTGTGTGTGTGTGTGGCGTGTGCATGCCAGTACTGGGGCTTCAAATCAGAGCATTATCCCTTAGCTTCTCCTTAAGATTAGTGCTCAGTTTCTGAGCCACACCTCCACTTTTTGATGGTTAATTGGAGGTGAAGCTCATGGACTTTCCTGCCAGGGCTGCCTTTGAACTGTGATCCTCAGATCTCAGCCTCCTGAATTAGTTAGCTTCTGGTGCCATAGAGATTCTTTGTAGCCAGATTTTGCTTTTTAACAGATTTATGGAGTTGGAAGGTTGGAATGAAATTTATGATCATAATGAATTTTAAAGGTGTCAACTCCATAACTTTCTGTGAAAACTCTGTGGCACGCTCTGTCACAAAAGTTTAAACATAATTTGCCTTGAATCTATTCGACCGAATGAAGCCTTCTAATCAATTATGGACGGAGGAAATGAGTTACAGTATAGGTCCAGTGGGATTTGAGACCCAATTCCAGGAGTCAGCATCAATCTCCAGCAGAGTTGCTTAGCATCTGGGGCAGATGAAGGCCTTCATACCTGCACACATTAATTGATGGCAACATGGTAGGCATTGCCCATGTTTCAAGCAATTGCACATCATATCCATGGATGGCATCGTGAACGAGTGTCAGACCTGGAGTCACAGCTGCCCTTCTGAGGTGGCTAATCTAGATCTACCTCGTGCGTGTGTGTGTGTGTGTGTGTGTGCCGTTCCTAAGACTTGAACTCCACATTAGTGCTATCCCTGAGTTTTTATACTCAAGGTTGGTGCTCTACCACTTGAACAAAAGCTCCAATTCTGGCTTCCTTTGGTGGTTCCTTTGAGATAGAATCTCATAGATGTGTCTTCCTGGGCTGGCTGGCTGGCTTTGAACCATGATCCTCAGATCTCAACTTCCTGAGTAGATAGAGTGACGGGCGTGAGCCACCTGTGCCTGGTTTTACCTCGTTTTAAGGTTTGAAAAACAGGCCCAGAGAGGGTGAATTGTCCGGGGTCGCCTTGCTGGTCTAGACTATAGATCTGATGGAGATCATGACACCCACAGCAGCAGCAAAATTTGCATCCCTCAGGATTGGGCCCTGAAGGCGGGGCCAGAGTGATAGCCGTGGGTCTAGGAGTACAGAGGATCGGGTCAGAGGCGAGGCCAGAATGATGGGCGGGTCCAGGCGGGTCCAGGAATACAAAGGATTGGGTCAGAGGCGGGGCCAGAGTGATAGGGCGGGGCCATGGGTTGTGGTAAAGAGGCTGGGGTAGTCCAGAAGCTGATATGGTTGGATAGAAGATGAAGATTGGCAAGAGACATGATAACGGGCGGGGCCAAAGTAGATTGGGCAGGGCCTGAGCGCTGGGCGGGCCCTGTGTAGAAAAGGCGTGGCCATGAGCAGAAAGGGTTGGGTCAGAGGAGAGCATGAAGACCGGGCAGGGTGTGGAGGCGTGGCCAGAGTGGTGGGGCGGGGCCAGGTGGGTCTAGCGGTAAGCAGGATTGGGTCAGAGGCATGGCCAGAAGCAAACTGGGCGGGGCCTGTGTGGAGTGGGCGTGTCCGAGCGGCTCAATCTCCTCCCCCTGGTCCCGCCTGCCCAGAGCCCGGAGGCGAGGCTGAGGCGCGGTCCGCTCCCGGCCGCTCGGAGCTGAGGCGCGGCCGGCGGGCTCCGTCGCGTGCGGTCTCCCGGTGTCGGCGTTCCCGCGCGGGCCGGGCGATGGCGGCGCGGGGGTCCGGGCGCCGCGCGCTCCGCCTGCTCCTCCTGGTTCCGCTGGTCGCCGGACTCCGGGGCGCGGCGGGCGCGGGGGGCGGCGCGCCGGGAGGTGAGCCGGGGCGGCGGCGGGGCTCGGGGAGGCCTGGGACGGAGCGCGCGGGACGGAGCGCGCGGGAGACCCCAGGGGCGGGAGGCGGGGGCTCGAGCGTGGTCCTCTCACGGCTTTGTGTGGACTTCCCTTGAACTTTCCAGGGGACAATGCGGGTGCGCTCAGCCGGGCCCCCACTTCGTTGATCATCCTGGGGTGCTCTCAGCCGGGCCCCCACTTCGTTGATCGTTTCTGGGGTGCTCTCAGCCGGGCCCCACTTCGTTGATCGTTTCTGGGGTGCGCTCAGCCGGGCCCCCACTTCGTCGATCGTTCCTGGGGCGCTCTCAGCCGGGCCCCCACTTCGTTGATCATCCTGGGGTGCTCTCAGCCGGGCCCCCACTTCGTCGATCGTTCCTGGGGCGCTCTCAGCCGGGCCCCCACTTCGTTGATCATCCTGGGGTGCGCTCAGCCGGGCCCCACTTCGTCGATCGTTCCTGGGGTGTAGACACTCCCTGCGTTCAATACGAGAGGTTGTGACTTGCGCTTCCACCCCTAGGGCCTCCCCGCCCCCTACTTTCTCATCTCCTCCCGGCAGCATCTGAGAAACCTTCGCCATCCTGGACGATGGGGAAGGAGCATCCCACTTTCCTGGCTTGCCCGGGCTCCCTGTGGACACCCTCGCATCCCCGGGCCCCTCCTGGGCACCAAGGCATTTCCAGTCTGCTGCTGTTCCAGATAGACTGCCTTCACTGGGATAGAAACAACAGAAGGAAACCTTCAGAACAAGCTTTCAAGGGCTCTTAGAACCAGATCTTCCCCCAGTTCAGAGAGAGAGAGAGAGAGACAGACAGACAGACAGAGATAGGGAAGGAGGGAGGGAGGGAGGGAGGGAGGGGGAGAGGGAGAGGAGAAGGGGGGAAGAGGGGGGAGGGAGGGAGAGAGAAGAAAAGGAGGATCATTTAGAGACCTGCCATTGTGGTGTGCTTGCTTGAGGGACAGGGGGTGAGATTCCATAAACCATATGAAAAGAATTGGCTCTACTGCATTTCAGGGTCTGCGTGAAGTTAGGTTTTTGTTGTTGTTTGCGGTATGTTTACTTTTTATTTAGTGCAGGTTGTGGGTCTGGAACTCAGGGTCTTAATGCCAGTTGGTGTCTCTTGGGTTTCTTGCTCAAGGCTGGCGCTTTATCACTTGAGCCACAATTCCACGTCTGGCTTTTTGGTAGTTAATTGGAGATTAAGAGTCTCATGGACTTTTCTATCCAGGTTGCCTTCAAACTGCAGTCCTCAGGTCTGAGCCTCCTGTGTAGCTAGGATTACAGGCATGAGCCACTGGCTTTTGAGTGAATTTCTTAAATCTTGGGATGCTTTTCTTGGGTTCGTGTTCTTTAAACTGATTCCTGATTTTAGGAAGTAGTAATTGTTATTGCAGGATGCTTTGTTTAATGTAGGCTGAAGAGAAAGAAAGTGGAGGATGATTTAACCAAGACATATTCTTGTCAAAAAGGTGATTTTTTTTTGGGGGGGTGAAGGGGTATAGTATTTGCCTTGAATTCAAGACCACTCACATTTGCTTGGCTTTTCAGCTCAAGGCTGGCACTGTAGTACTTGAGCTACAGCTCAATATTCACCTTTTTTTACTGATTAATTGTCAATGGTAGTCTCATGGACTTTCTTACCTGTGCTGGCTTTGAGCCTCAATCTTTTTTTTTTTTTTTGTCATGGGGCTTGAAGTCTGGGCCTGGGCACTGTCCCTCAGCTCTTCAGCTCAAGGCTAGCACTTACCACTTGAGCCACAGCACCACTTCTGGTTTTCTGAGTGGTTTATTGGAGATAAGAGTCTCACAGCCTTTCCTTCCCTGGCTGGCTTTGAACCGTGAGCCTCAGATCTCAGCCTCCTGAGTGGCTAAGATTACAGGCATGAGCCACCAGTGTCCGGCTGAGACTACTTCTTTTATAAGAAGCATTTATTATACTTATATCTTTTTTTTTTTTTTTGGGTCTAGTTGTGGGGCCTGAACTCTGGGCCTGGCCGCTGTCCCTCAGCTCTTCAGCTCAAGGCTAGCGCTCTATCATTTGAGCCACAGCACCACTCCTGGCTTTTTTCTTTGTGCTTATGTGGTGCTGAGGAATCGAACCCAGGGCCTCATGCATGCAAGGCAAGCGCTCTACCACTGAGCCACCTTCCCAGCCATATCTTTTTTTTTTTTTTTTTTTTTTAATTGTGGGGCTTGAACTTAGGGCCTGGGTGCTGTCCTTGAGCTCTCTTGCTCAAGGCTAGTGTTCTTCCACTTTGAGCCACAGCTCCACTTCCAGCTTTTTTTGAGAATTTTATTTTAGATAAGAGGCTTAAGGGGACTTTTCTGCCTGGGCTGGCATTGAACCTCAATCCTCAGATCTCAGCCTCCTGAGTAGCCAGGGTGACAGGCATGACAGGGTGCCCAGTTTCTTTCTTTTTTCTTTCAGGTCTCAGCCTCCTGAGTAGCTAGGATGACAGGTGTGAGCCACCGGCGCCCGGCTTCCAGTCCTACTTTTTGCTGGTTATTTTGGAGATGGAGGTCCTCTCAATCTATTTCCTTAGTAACTAGGATCAAGACACAAGCCACTGGCACCTGGCTAGAACTATTGTTCTTACACTGTTTAATTTTTTTTTTTTTTTGGGGTCCGGTAGTGGGGCCTGAACTCTGGGCCTGGGCGCTGTCCCTCAGCTCTTCAGCTCAAGGCTAGCGCTCTACCACTTGAGCCACAGCGCCACTTCCGGCTTTTTTCTTTTTGCTTATGTGGTGCTGAGGAATCGACCCCAGGGCCTCGAACATGCAAGGCAAGCACTCTACCACTGAGCCACCTTCCCAGCCCCCACACTGTTTAATTTTTGTTTTTTATTTTTTTCATACTGGTCCTGGGGCTTGAACACAGGGCCTGGGTGCTCTCTGTAAGCATTTTCACTTAAGGCTGGTGCTCTATGACTTGAGCAACACCTCCACTTCTGGATTTTGGCTGGTTAATGTGACATAAGAATCTCTCAGATTTGCCGGGCGCTGGTGGCTCACGCCTGTAATCCTAGCTACTCAGGAGGCTGAGATCTGAGGATCGCGGTTCAAAGCCAGCCCGGGCAGGAGAGACCGTGAGACTCCTATCTCCAATAAACCGCCAGAAAACCGGAAGTGGCGCTGTAGCTCAAGTGGTAGAGCGGTCGCCTTGAGCTGAAGAGCTGAGGGACAGCGCCCAGGCCCAGAGTTCAAGCCCCACGACCGACAAAAAAAAAAAAAAAGAATCTCTCAGATTTATCTGCCTAAGCTGTCTTTGAACCATGATCCTCAGATTTGAACAGCTAGGATTACAGGTATGAGCCACTGGTGCCCAGCCTTCCCGTGTGCTTTAATAAGTGATTGTATTGAAGAATGATATTAAATAAGTGAGCTCATTGCCCAGTTGTTCCTAAATGTTAATTTGCTTTTACGTACACCTTTGAATGTGGATGGCTGGCAGTACTCCGTGGTATTAGGAGACCGCTACAAACTTGCTGTGTTTTTTTCGGGCAGGTGAATTGATCTGGCTGATTCCTTATTTCTCCCATCAACACAGAAGGGTGCCTGGACACTGGTGGCTCATGCCTGTAATCCCAGCTATTTGGGAGATCTGAGGAATGAGGTTTGAAGCCAACCTGGGCAGGAAAGTCCATGAGACTCTTACCTTCAATTAACCAGCAAAAAAACTGGAAGTGGATGGGCTGGGAATAAGGCTTAGTGGTAGAGTTTGCCTAGCATGCATGAAGCCCTGGGCTCAATTCCACAGTACCACATACACAGAAAAAGCCACGAGTGTCGCTGTGGCTCCAGTGATAGAGCACTAACCTTGAGCTTAGGACAGTTCCCAGCCCTGAGTTCAAGTCCGAGGACTGGCCAAAACAAAACAAGACTGGAAGTGGAGCTGTGGCTCAAGTGGTCAGGCACCAGCCTTGAGCAAAAAAGCCATGCGAGAACACAAGACCCTGAGTTCAAGCCCCAGTAGACACACACACACACACACACACACACACACACACACACACACACACACACACACACAGGCCATAGATGATTACATATCCTTTCAATCGTTACATTTTGTTTACATTTTATTTTTTCATATTCATCTTAGATTCTTTGTTTTTGTTTTTGTAAGATAAGATTTCACTATGTAGCAAAGGTTGGCCTTGAACTCACATTCAATTGAAATTCTGCTGCAGCTTCCCTAGTGCTGGATTGTGTGTGTGTGTGTGTGTGTGTGTGTGTGTGTGTGTGTGTGTGTGTATAAATTAGTTAATTAGTTGTCATACTGAGGCTTGAACTCAGGGTCTTGTATTCTCGCATGGCTTTTTTGCTCAAGGATGGCGTTCTATTATTTGGTACAGCTCCACTTCTTGCTTTTTTGCTGGTTAATTGGAGCTAAGAGTCTCATGGACTTTCCTGCAGGCTTTAAGCCTTGATCCTCAGATTTTAGCCTCCTAACTAGTTAGGATTACAGGCGTGAGCTAATTCCCAGGCAAAAAGAATTTTTGGCTTGTCGGCCAAAATTTATATCTATTTTGCTGATAGAAGGTCATGGAGCTGGGGAAAGAGGCCCAGAAGGCAATTTGGCCTGTACTAAAATAGAATTTACTAGTACATTAAGATAATATAAGTCTTTTAAACTGACCTACCGGTGACTGATTTATGGAAATCAAATATTCATTAGTTGGTTATATTTCTTAGCTGGGTGACATTTGACATTTTATTTTTAGTATATAGAGTGGCTGAGTTCTTTAGTGAAAGAAAAAATAAAATGCTTCATTGAAAACGGGAGATGAGAGACATTTTTTGAACTTGTTTTCTTCCAGAAGCTAGTAGAAATACATACAACGAGGCTCTTGGCTTTGCTTTGGTCAGCTTTTTGTTGTTGTTGTTGTTGGTCATGGGGCTTGAACTCAAGGCCTGTGCATTGTCCCTGAGCTCTTTTGCTCAAGTCTAAAAAGTTCTACCACTTTGAGCCACAGCACAACTTCTGGTTTTCTGGTGGTTCATTGGAAATAAGAGTCTTACGGACTTTCCTTGCCTGGACTGGCTTTGAACCGCAATCCTCAGATCTCAACCTCCTGAGTAGTTAGGATGACAGGCGTGAGCCACTGGCGCCCATTGGCCAGCTTTTTATATGTCCTTACACTTTTCCACACAATTTATTTTGAAACTAAAGATGCTTTGATTTCCTAGCAAATGCTAAATATGCTCTATGAGCTAGACTGTGAGTCTGATTTGTGAAACATGTGTCTGAGTTTCTTAACTCTGAGGTGTCCAATTATCAGAAGAGGGGGACTTTTGTGGGTGTGGGGCAAAGGAGGTACAGGGCTTTGAACTCAGTCTTATGCTGAGCACTGGCCTGGACACTGTCCCTGAGCTTCTTTTGCTCAAGGCTGGCACTCAACCACTTGAACCACAGCGCCACGTCTGACTTTTTCTGTGTATGTGGTAGTGAGGAATTGAACCCAGGGCTTCATGCATGCTAGGCAAACACTCTACCACTGAATTTCACCACCATGCCACATGAAAGGAAGCCCAAACAAATGTGTACTACTGTCTAATAAGCCCACCCCTTCCTCCCTTTCTCTCTTCCTTCATTCTACCCTTCCTTTCCTACCTCTGGTAACTGACGCTCAAACTCTGGGCTTTGAGCTGTCCCTTAGCTTTTTGGCTTGAGATTGGAGCTCTACCACTTTAGCCACATCTCCACTTCTGGCTTTTTGTGTGATTAATTGGAGGTAAGAATCTCACAGACTTTCCTGCCCGGGCTGGCTTGGAACTGTGATCCTTAGAGCTCAGCCTCCCGAGTAGCTAGGATTATCAGCATGAGCCACCAGTGCCCAGCTTTGTTTGTTTATAATTGGTCGGTTCTAAAGCAGAAAGTGGCTTAACAAGGACATTTATTTGCACCTTTGTGGGCCATTGGGTGTTTTATTTCCTGGCATGGTAAATGTTCTGGTTTGTAAGCATATTTATTGCTTGGGGGAGAGATCTGTGATCCCAAATTAAGACAGTGAACTCTACATTTCCTGGATTTGATGATGCTTAAACTTTTCTTTTTCTCTCCCTTCTTGGGAACTATTGACCAGACATAAATTTAGCACCACCTTAGGTCACCTTTTTATTTGAGAGTCAGAACAAGATGTTAAATTAAGTTTAGTAAGACAGTTCGGTTACAGTGTAACTTTATCTTATCATTCTGTGGTAAAAATCAATATCAACTAAAATGAAAATCCTGAAGTGGGGGGAAACAATCCTGCATTCCAGCTGTCATAGCTCAGTGATGATCAGTGAGCAGATGTAGGTGTCAGGTTGAAGATGCTGGCTGCGGGTCACATTCATTTCCTCTTATTAGGGAAGAGCTCACTGCTTTATCTTGCTATTGCTTAAAATAGCCTTCCTAGCATGGTATCAAAGAGGATTTTTTTTTATTTAAACAAAAAGAACAAAAGTCACTTTCTGTTAAGTTAAAAAGATACAAGGAGACTAGAAGAGGAAAATTATTTATACCAGGAATGCTTAGATTCTGGTATAGTATCTGTTGGTTTTCCAACCTTAATTCGATGGATCTTCTTCTTTTTTCTTTTTTCTTTTGTTGGTCATGGGCCTTGAGCTCTGGGCCTGGCTGCTCTTCCTGAGCTTTTCTGCTCAAGGCTAGCATTCTACCACTTGAGCCACAGTTTCACTTCTGGTTTCCTGGTGGTTAATTAGAGGTAAGAGTCTTATGGACTTTGCTGCCCAGGCTGGCTTGGAACTGCGATCCTCAGATCTCAGCCTCCTGAGTAGCTAGGATGACAGACATAAGCCTCCTGCCTCTTTCCCATCTCCTGTCACCCCATTCTCCCAAATCACATCAGTATGTTCCCATCTGGTCCCTGCTGACTGCCCTTGGTAATGTCCTGTGCTTCAGACACGTATAGCCATAAAGTCATAGTACTTTATAAATCCCTGTACTACATAAAAATCCCTTTAAACTATTTTTCAGTGCTTGGAATTGAACGTAGGACCTTGGGATCCTAGGCAAGTGCTCAGTTTCTCCCTCTATTTTTTTTTTTTTTTTTGCCAGTCCTGGGGATTGAACTCAGGGCCTGGGCACTGTCCCTGAGCTTCATTTGCTCAAGGTTAGCATTCTACCATTGGAGCCACAGCACCACTTCTGGCTTTTTCTGTGTATGTGGTGCTGTGGAATCAAACCCAGGGCTTCATGCATGCTAGGCAAGCTCTCTACTACTGAGCCACACTCAGCCCCTAAGCTTTTTTTGTGTGTGTGCTGCTCCTGGGCTTGAATTCAGGGCTTGGGTGCTGTCCCTGAGCACAAGGCAAGCACTCTATCACCTGAGCCACAGCACCACTTACGGTTTTCTGGTGGTTTATTGGAAATAAGAGTCTCATGGACTTTCCTTCCTGGGCTGGCTTTAACCACGATTCTCAGATCTCAGCCTCCTAAATAGCTAGTATTATTATAGGCATGAGCCACCAGTGCCCAGCCTGCCTTTAAATTTTTATTTGATGCTATTTATTTAGCCAGTATGGGGGCTTGAACTCAGGGCCTGGGTACTGTCCCTAAGCGTTTTTTGCTCAAGGTGAGTGCTCTACCACTTGAACTACAGCCCCACTTCTGTTTTTTTTTGAGTAGTTGATTGGAGATAAGAGTATCATAGTTTCCTGCTCTGGCTGGCTTTGAACCGCAGTCCTCAGATCTCAGCCTCCTGAGTAGCTAGGATTACAGATGTGAGCTACCATGCCTGGTTAATTCATTTTATTTTATTTTGTCAGTTGTGGGGCATGAACTCTGGGCCTGGGCGCTGTCCCTCAGCTCTTCAGCTCCAGGTGAGCGCTCTACCACTTGAACCATAACACCACTTCCAGTTTTCTTGTGGTTAATTGAAGAGTCTCATGGACATTCTTGCTCAGGCTGGCTTTGAATCTCGACTCTTAGATCTCAGCCTTCTGAGTAGCTAGGATCACAGGCATGAGCCACCGGCCCCCACCTGGCTGAACAGTTCATCTTAAAAGCTGCATTAAGAGCATCATTATTCCACAATACTGTGAAATTCCGGAAATTATGTAATCACTTAATCACAATCAAAAAAAAAAAAAACCTTGGGGAAGGTAGGGAGGGAGGGGATGGTAGGGGGAAAACAATGGAGGGGGTAACAATGTTCAAGAGGAAGTGTACTCATTACCTCACTCATGTAACTGTAACCCTCTGTATAGTATCTTTACAATAAAAAAAATTAATTTGAAAAAAAAATTAAACAGTAGGGGCTGGGAAGGTGGTTCAGTGGTAGAGCGCTTGCCTGAGGCCCTGGGTTCGATTCCTCAGCACCACATAAGCAAAAAGAAAAAAGCCGGAAGTGGCGCTGTGGCTCAAGTGGTAGAGTGCTAGCCTCGAGCTGAAAAAAAAAAAGAAAAGCTGCATTAATAATAGTCTAAATTTAATTGGACATTGAAATAATTTATTACCAGCTTACTAATACTACAGGCCCTGAGTTTGACTGGAAAAAAAAAAAGGAACTTATTTTTGTACGTTGATCTTGTAGCCTGAAACCTTGTTACATACACTGATTAGTTCTTACAGCTTTTTTTCATAGATTATGGTTTTTTGACATAGATGGTCATATTGTCTGTGAACAAAAAAAAAGACAAGCAAAAAATAGTCTACATTTTATTTTATTTTATTTATTTATTTATTTTTGGGTCTGGTCATGGGGCCTGAACACTGGGTCTGGGCGCTGTCCCTCAGCTCTTCAGCTCAAGGCTAGCGCTCTACCACTTGAGCCACAGCGCCACTTCCAGCTTTTTTCTTTTTGCTTATGTGGCGCTGAGGAATGGAACCCAGGGCCTCAGGCATGCAAGGCAAGCGCTCTACCACTGAGCCACCTTCCCACCCCCATAGTCTACATTTTAATTAGTTCACTAATAAAATAGAAATTTTTAAGTCTCAGTATTTGTATTTTTTTTTTTTCTTTTCTTTTTTGGCCCAAGACTGGGACTGGAACTGATGCTTTCCCTCATTGGCTAGCACTCCACCAACTGAACCACGCCTCCAACCTCTTTTCATTTTTAATTGTAATTTCATCACTAAGTGGTTTTCAAAGGGGCTTCAATTCAGCATATCAGCTTAGGAGCACTATACGTCTTGATCAATGTCACCCTTCCATCCTTCTCCCCCATTTCTCCCAACTCTACCTGTCCTGTTCATTTTCCTAGGCTCCTTTTCACACAGGCGCATTGAGTATGGTGACTGTGTTCTCCCCAACTTCCTCACCGCCTCCCCCGACCACATTCCCTCCTGATATATCATGGTCCAGCTTCCTGGTATTCATTTCGTTAAGACTCTTAAGTTTGTTGTTCAAAAGAGTTACACCAGGGCTGGGAAGGTGGCTTAGTGGTAGAGTGCTTGCCTAGCATGCTTGAAGCCCTGGGTTCGATTCCTCGGTACCACATACACAGAAAAAGCTGGAAGCGGTGCTGTGGTGCAAATGGTAACGCACTAGCCTTGAGCAAAAGAAGCTCAGGGACAGTACCCAGGCCCTGAGTTCAAGCCCCAGGACTGGCAAAAAAAAAAAGTTATCCCATTGGAATTCTCCCATGTCTACCATGTTTTAGTTAATATGTGGCTATATATGCATCTGAGCCTGTATAGGTTAACATCTATAGTTATAAATTACATTTAACTTCCACATAGGAGAGAAAACACATATGTCTCTCAGGGCCTGAGAAAGCCAGCCTATTAACTTGTAAATATTTGATCTATAGGATTAGCGGCGCCTTCCATGGTGGCGAAACACGAAGACCGTTTGTTTAAGGATTTATTTCAAGACTACGAAAGATGGGTTCGTCCTGTGGAGCAGCTGAATGACAAAATAAAAATCAAGTTTGGCCTAGGCATCTCTCAGTTAGTGGATGTGGTAAGTGTGTCTGTGGCCGGGTTGTGGTTCACAGCAGTGTAGAGGTGTCCCTTGCCAGCCAGGAACTGTGCTAGGCTCCAGCTGGTACCACTTTCCCCAAGCAGCTCACCAGGGAAGAATTACCCTACCCCAGTGAGCTGCGGTTATACACTGTGGTATATTCTAGAAATTGTTTGATCTTATTCAGTAACGCAAGAGGTTTATCTTCAGTGAGTTTAAAGACATTGAGACGTATGTTGAAGTCTCTCCTGTTGTCTCGGTGTTGGGGTTGAATGCAGCAAGGCCTGGGCACTGTCCCTGAGCTTTGCTCCTCCTCAAGGCTAGCACTCTACCAATCTGAGCCACAGTGCCAGTTCCGGCTTTCTGGTGGTTTATTGGAGATAAGAGTCTCATGGACTTTCCTTCCTGGGCTGGCTTTGAATGGCGATCCTCAGATCTCAGCCTCCTGAGGAGCAGCAGGATTACAAGCATGAGCCACTGGTGCCTGGTGAGGTTTCTCCTTTTATTGGTTAAAAATATGATCAAAAGCATCAGTGGCTCATGCCTGTAATCCTAGCTACTCAGGAGGTTGAGATCTGAGGACCACAGTTCAAAGCCAGCCTGGGCCAGGAAAGTCCCTGAGACTCTTTATCTCCAATGAACCACCAGAAAACCAGAAGTGGTGTGGTGGCTCAAGTGGTAGAGCGCTCGCCTTGAGCTGAAGAGCTGAGGGACAGTGCCCAGGCCCAGAGTTCAAGCCCCACGACTGACCAAAAAAAAAAAAAAAAAGATCAAAAGGTTTTAGAAAATCTGGAGATAGAATAAATAAATATTTTCTCAGGATATACCTAAAGCATTTCAGAGATTTTTTTTTTTTCCATGTGTAGCTCATGAAGAAAAACAAGCTCTTGGGCTGGGAAGGTGGCTCAGTGGTAGAGCGCTTGCCTTGCATGCCTGAGGCCCTGGGTTCCATTCCTCAGCACCACATAAACAGAAAATAAAAAGCTGGAAGTGGCGCTGTGGCTCAAGTGGTAGAGCGCTAGCGTTAAGCTGAAGAGCTGAGGGACAGTGCCCAGGCCCAGAGTTCAGGCCCACAACCAGACCCAAAAAAACAACAACAAACAAAAAACAAGCTCTGGGACTTAGCCCACAGCCCTTGGGTTCCCATAAAGTGTTTCTCAAAGCTATACCTCCACTTCTGGCTTTTTGATGGTTTACTGGCGATAAGCATCTCTCAGATTGGCCTGCGTGGCTGGCTTTGTATCTGGAGCTTCAGATCCCAGCCTCCTGAGTAGCTAGGATAGCTGTGGACATGAACCACTGGCACCAGGATTGTCAAGAAGGCATTTCTGCGGGGTGCCTATGGCTCACACCTGTCATCCCAGCTACTCAGGAGGCTGAGATCTGAGGGTTGCGGTTCCAAGCCAGCTTGGGCAGGAAAGTCGGTGAGACTAATTTCCAGTAAACTACTCAGAAAAAGCCAGAAGTGGTGCTGTGGCTCAAGTGGTAGAATGCTAGCCTTGAGCACAGAGAGGCTCAGGCACAAAGCTCAGACCCTGAATTCAAGCCGCAGGACTGGCAAACAACAAGAAGATTTTTTTTTTTTCGGTCCAGTCATGGGGCCTGAACTCTGGGCCTGGGCGCTGTCCCTCAGCTCTTCAGCTCAAGGCTAGTGCTCTACCACTTGAGCTACAGCACCACTTCTGGCTTTTTTCTTTTTTTGCTTATGGGGTGCTGAGGAATCGAACCCAGGGCCTCATGCATGCAAGGCAAGCGCTCTACCACTGAGCCACCTTCCCAGCCCCTATTTTTTTTTTTTAAACCCAGGGCTTTATGCATGCTAGGCAAGCACTCTAGCACTAAGCACTAAGCCATATTCTCAGCCCTGCACAACATCTTTTTTTTTTTAATGTTTTTTTTTATTGTAAAAACAACAAGATTTTATAAACTGGTTTCTTCCTTTTCTGATGTTAATGTTTATTTCCATGCTGGATTTCTGGAATAGTCAACTATTTTCATATACTCACGTTTGTTTCTCAGTGCTGAGACTCGATCTCAGGACTTGTACTGAGGCAGGTAGGCCAGGCAGGTACTCTATTAGTGAACTACCTCACCAGCCTATATATACACACACACACACACACACACACACATATATAGCATTCAAAGCTGGGTGCCGGTAGCTCACCTGTAATCCCAGCTACTCCAGAGGCTGAGATCTGAGAATCGCAGTTGAAATGCCATTCCAGGAAGGAAAGTCCATGCAACTCTTATCTCTAATGAACCACCAAAAACCAGAAGTGGAGCTGTGGCTCAAGTGGTAGAGTGCTAGCCTTGCACACAAAAGTTCAGGGTCAGTTCAAACCCCAGGACCAGAGCAACTTCCCCTACACACACACACACACACACACACACACACACACCAATGGAATACACTCATAGGTGTGTATGGGAGACTCGGCCTGTTGGTGGAACTGGGTTGATGGTTAGCATTAGAAGCCTGTACCAGAGGACTGTTCTGGTGAGCTGGCATAGAGGGCAGAGGGCAGAGGCAAGGCCATGGCCACATGCCACTTACTTACATAGAGGTGTCAATATTTGTACTGACAGAATTATTGCTCCTGGGACTGAAATATAATCAACCTTATTCTTATTTTGTAGGATGAGAAAAATCAGTTACTGACCACAAATGTCTGGTTGAAACAGGTATGTACAACATTCAAATGGATTCCCAGGGGCTGGGAAGGTGGCTCAGTGGTAGAGCGCTTGCCTTGCATGCCTGAGGCCCTGGGTTCGATTCCTCAGCACCACATAAGCAAAAAGACGGAAGTGGCGCTGTGGCTCAAGTGGTAGAGTGCTAGCCTGGAGCTGAAGAGCTGAGGGACAGCGCCCAGGCTCAGGGTTCAAGCCCCACGACCGGACCCCCCCCCAAAAAAAAATGGATCCCCAGCTGACTTATTAAGGCCCCTCAGCACAAAGGCCCAGGAGAGGTCGGTGTGGATGGACAGAATGTAGGGAGATGAGCGTAGCTGGAGTGCTTGTATTCATACAGTTAATGTTGTATTTAAAATGTGTGTGTGGCCAAGCACTGGTGGCTCACACCTGTAATCCTAACTACTCAGGAGGCTGAGATCTGAGGATCATGGTTTGAAGCCAACCTAGGCAGGAAAGTCAGTGAGACTCTTTATCTCCAATGAACCACCAGAAAATTGGAAGTGGAGTTGTGGCTCAAAGTGGTAGAGCCTTGAGCAAAAAGAGCTCAGGGACAGGGCCCAGGCCCTGAGTTCAAGGCCAACTGACTCCTACCTGCTCCCCGCACCCACCCCCCAATCCCCCTGCCAAGAAAAAAGCCTGCCCTCAAAGAACTTCATTCTAGTTTGAGAAAAATGAACAGTTAGGTGGCATTATAACTTAGAAGCTGGTAAGCTTGGAGAATACTGGTCAGAAAACATACTGATGGCCAGGCCAAGTTTGGAAAGGGGGCGTGTAAGTGCAAAGGCCCTGGGGCTGGAGTGTGTCTAGTGTGTTTTAAGAAGTTATAAGCAGGCCAACGTGATCAAAGGTGAACGAGCTAGGAGGAGAGCTATGCAGATGGGGTATAATAAACAATGGAACTCAGTAGAGTGGAGGTTCATAGGCCGCCCTGGCTCATGGATGAGCAAGAATGTAATTAGTAATTATTACTTCATTAAATTATTAGCACATCAAGGGTCCAAATGAATGGGATTCCCCGTGACATTCCATACATGTGTGCATTGCCCTTGGGTGCTGGGATTACAGGTGTGTCACCATGCCCCGTTTCAGTTAATATTTTCTGAGAGCTTCCTCTTTTCTCTCCATTATCTCTAGTGGAGGTAGGCTTTCTGTAGTTGCCTCGGGAGTTGATTTCATGTCTAAAATCTCTGAGTTTGACACAAAGTTTTTTATTCTTTGATTTTTATTTTTTATTGGAATTGGGGTTTATTTCTTCATTTCAAAGGAATGGGTAGATGCGAAGTTGAGGTGGAATCCTGCTGACTACGGTGGAATAAAAGTCATCCGCGTCCCTTCTGACTCCCTCTGGATCCCCGACATCGTTTTGTTTGATAAGTAAGTTATATTCTCAATACAATTTTGAGTTTCCAGAAGAAAACTTGCATTCCTATGAGGTACTGCTTTTTTTTTTTTTTTTTGGTCAGTCATGGGGCCTGAACTCTGGGCCTGGGCACTGTCCCTCAGCTCTTCAGCTCAACGCTAGCGCTCTGCCACTTGAGCCACAGCATCACTTCTGGCTTTTTTCTTTTTGCTTATGTGGTGCTGAGGAATCGAACCCAGGACCTCAGGCATGTAAGGCAAGCACTCTGCCACTGAACCACCTTCCCAGGCCCTATAATCTTATAAATATGTTAGAAACAATCGCATGAAAGATCTTTTTTTTTTTTTGGTCAGTCATGGGGCTTGAGCTCTAGGCCTGGGCGCTGTCCCTGAGCAATTCAGCTCAAGGCTCATGCTCTACCACTTGAGCCATAGTACCACTTCTAGTTTTCTGGTGGTTGAACTACAATCTTTAGCTTCTTGAGTAGCTAGGATTACAGGCATGAGCCACTGGTGCCCAGCTCTGGTGTATTTAAATATATATATATATATATAATTTTATTAAGGTGTTGTCAGGTAATGCATACATCTCTTCTTTGGACAATGTTACCCCTTCCTTCACTGTCCCCTCAGTTTTCCCCACCCTTCCCTACCCTCAAGTTCATTTTCCACATAGTACAGACTGAATAGGATGATTGCATTTGTTCACCCTCCCTCCCTTTCTGCATCCCTCCTTGCCCCCACAAAAAGACAAAAGCAAAACCCAAAACAAATACTTACCAAGTTATTTATTTATTTTTTTTGGTCGGTCGTGGGGCTTGAACTCTGGGCCTGGGCGCTGTCCCTCAGCTCTTCAGCTCAAGGCTAGCGCTCTACCACTTGAGCTACAGCACCACTTCCGGTTTTCTGGTGGTTTATTGGAGATAGGAGTCTCACGGTCTCTCCTGCCCGGGCTGGCTTTGAACCGCGATTCTCAGATCTCAGCCTCCTGAGTAGCTAGGATTACAGGCGTGAGCCACCAGCGCCCGGCCCCAAGTTATTTTTTTTAATCATAAAAATGTTCTATGACTTGTGGAATTACCCAAAGATTTGAGAAGTGCAGAAAGTTCTAAGGAAGGAGAGATGACTGGTGGGAATTAGAGGCAGCCTCTCCTGTCAGCCCCCATAGGCAGTGAACTGGTACCAAGGAGCAGGGCGGTGCCCATAGGAGCCTCTGTGATTGGGCCTCACGGGGTCACATGCCTGGCCCATGTGTCCATTCACCAATGAGGGCAGGGCTTCCCTTTAAGGCAGTATGAAGTACCTGATTATCCTTTTCCTCCAGATTTTTTTTTGGGGGAGGATTTGATTTTTAGTTGAGGTCATACTTTTTTTTTCTTTGTCAATTGTGGAGCTTGAAATCAGGGCCTGGCCCCTGAGCTTTTAAACTCAAGGCTAGCGCTCTACCACTTGAGCCACAGCTCCATTTCTGGTTCATGAGAAATAAGAATCTCCCAGATTTGTCTCCTGGGGCTGGCCTCGAATGGCAATCCTCACACCTCAGCCTCTTGAGTGGCTAGGATGACAGATACTAGTCACCAGCATGTGGCTAGGCGTACTTTTAGGTAAAATGCATGGGGTTGTTCACTGTTAGTGCATGTGTGTGTGTGTGTGTTACGAGGCTGCTCACTGGTGTGTGTGTGTGCGTTGATGAGGTTTCTCACCGTTGTGTGTGTGTATGTGTGTGTTATGAGGCTGCTCACCGTTGTGTGTGTTGATAAGGCTGCTCACCGTTGTGTGTGTGTGTGTTGATAGGCTGCTCACCGTTGTGTGTGTGTGTGTTAATGAGGTTTCTCACCGTTGTGTGTGTGTGTGTGTGTTAGTGCGGACGGCCGCTTCGAAGGGGCCAGCACGAAGACGGTGGTGCGGCACGACGGCCGCGTCACCTGGACGCAGCCGGCCAACTACAAGAGCTCCTGCACCATCGACGTCACCTTCTTCCCCTTCGACCGGCAAAACTGCTCCATGAAGTTCGGCTCGTGGACCTACGACGGCTCGCAGGTGGACCTGGTCCTGGAGGACCCGGACGTGGACAGGACGGACTTCTTCGACAACGGCGAGTGGGAGATCGTGAGCGCCACGGGGCGCGCGGGGACGCGCAGGGACGGCTGCTGCGCCTACCCGAGCGTCACCTTCGCGCTGGTCATCCGGCGGCTGCCGCTCTTCTACACGCTCTTCCTCATCGCGCCCTGCATCGGCCTCTCCTTCCTCACCGTCGTCGTCTTCTACCTGCCCTCGCACGGCGGCGAGAAGATCAGCCTGTGCACGTCGGTGCTCGTGTCGCTCACCGTCTTCCTGCTGGTCATCGAGGAGATCATCCCCTCCTCCTCCAAGGTCATCCCCCTGATCGGCGAGTACCTGGTCTTCACCATGATCTTCGTCACCCTCTCCATCATGGTCACCGTCTTCGCCATCAACATCCACCACCGCTCGGCCTCCACGCACACCGCCATGGCGCCCTGGGTGCGCAGGGTGTTCCTGCACCGGCTCCCCCGCGTGCTGTGCATGCGCAGCCACGCCGACCGCTTCCGCGCCCGGCCCGACGCCCGCCACGCCGGCCGCCGCCGCGGGGCCCCCGGAAACGCCCTGGAAGCCGCCCTGGACGCCATCCGGTTCATCACCAGACAAGTCGTCAAGGAGAACGCTGTCCGCGAGGTCGGTGGCTGCGGGCACATCCGCTTCCGGTGGGGGAGGAGAAGCTTCCGGTGGGGGAGGAGGAGCTTCCGGTGGGGGAGGAAGAGCTTCTGGTGGAGAGGCGGAGCTTCCAGCCGGGGAGGAGGAGCTTCTGGTGGGGAGGCGGAGCTTCCAGCAGAGGCGGAGCTTCTGGTGGGGGAGGCGGAGCTTCTAGTGGGGGAGGAGGAGCTTCTGGTGGGGGAGGCGGAGCTTCCAGCGGGGGAGGAGGAGCTTCTGGCGGGGAGGCGGAGCTTCCAGCAGAGGAGGAGCTTCTGGTGGGGGAGGCGGAGCTTCTAGTGGGGGAGGAGGAGCTTCTGGTGGGGGAGGAGGAGCTTCCGGCGGGGGAGGAGGAGCTTCTGGTGGGGGAGGCGGAGCTTCCAGAGGGGGAGAGGAACTTCTGGTGGGGGAGGCGGAGCTTCTGGTGGAGAGGCGGAGCTTCCAGCGGGGGAGGAGGAGCTTCTGGTGGAGAGGCGGAGCTTCCGGTGGGGAGGAGGAGCTTCTGGCGGGGGAGGTGGAGCTTCCGGTGGGGAGGAGGAGCTTCTGGTGGGGAGGCGGAGCTTCTGGTGGGGGAGGAGGAGCTTCTGGCGGGGGAGAGGAAGCGGGCCTTAGGGTGAGGCCGGTGTTAGGCCCCGGTGGTGGCTCACGCCTGTCCTCACAGCTACTCAGGAGGCTGAGATCTGAGGATTTCGGTTCGAAGCCAGCCCGGGTAGGGAAGTCCGTGAGACTCCAATTCGTCCCCGAAAAATCAGGAAGTGAAGCTGTGGCTCAAGTGGTAGAGCGCTAGCCTTGAGCCAAAGGAGCCCAGGGACGGCGCCCAGGCCCAGAGTTCAAGCCCAGGACTGGCACAAAAGAACAACAGTATGAAAGTTACACCCTGACAGGAGAATACGAAATTCTAAGGGGTCTTTAAAGCTTGAGCCAACATAGTTCTCTGCCCCTGAACCCTGAGCACAGATTCACGTTCTAACTCGGTGCGATGCCATTTGGAACATGGGCGCAATTTGTATTTATGCATTTAACGTGCTTTTATTTACTTTTGCCACAGGTAGTAGAAGACTGGAAATTCATAGCCCAAGTTCTGGATCGGATGTTTCTGTGGACCTTCCTTCTCGTTTCAGTCCTTGGAACTCTTGGCCTTTTTGTTCCTGTTATTTACAAATGGGCCAAAATAATAGTTCCTGTGCACATTGGAAATACAAAATAAGTAAAAATTTCCCCCAGGGGGCTTATGAATTCCCTCAGCAAGCACACGTCTCTCATGCCAACCTGTACAATTTTAAAATGTGAATGTCTCCTGTTGATGATGTAAGTTACCAGAAACTATCAGATATGAATGTTGGTTTATCTTAGTAGATTGTCCCCTAGAAAAAACATACCCGCTTGCCTGACTGGATTCCTAATTTGAAATAACAGCAAAACCAACTAGTGAAAAATCTAATAATGTTTGCATCTGAGAAAATAACATTAATTTGTAATCATTACATTCATCTTTTGAAGGCTAGAAAATCCAGTTATATTGGAAGACTCATTGATTGATTGATTCATTCATTCATTACTGGTACTGGGGCTCAAACTCATGGCCTGGATGATATCCCTGAGTTTTTTTGATCAAGGCTAGTGCTGTACCACTTGGGCCACAGCTCCACTTCTAGGGGTTAATTGCAGACAAGAGTACCGTAAACTTTCCTTTTCAGGCTGGTTCTAAACCTCAATCCTCATCTCAGCTTCCTGAGTAGCTGGGATTACAGGCGTGAGCCATCATCAGTGCCCAGCAGAAAGACTGATTTGAAAACTTTTTCAGGATTTAGTAAAAGTTTGTTATTTTTGTTAGCAAGACCGGATCTTGCTAACTTGCCCAGGCTGACTCCAAATGCTGGGCTCAAATGCTCCTTCTGTCTCAGCCTCCTGAATAGCTGGGACTACAGTCATGCCCAACCTCACACATACCAGCTATCTTACACATGTTTAGATTCTTCTTTCCTGGATTCACCAGGCGAAGCTAAATGTGTATCCTTGGCTTAAATGTGATGCTGCTGTTTTATAATCAACTTTTTTTTTTTTTTTTCAGTCATGGGTCTTGAACTCTGGGCCTGGGCGCTGTCCCTGAGCCCTTCAGCTCAAGGCTAGCTCTCTTACACTTGAGCTGCAGCACCATGTCTATAACCAACATTTTTAATAAATGAAAAATGGGGGTTAGAAATGCCATGAAATAGATCTTAACTCTCCTAATACTAGGACTTGAACTTAGTGCCTCACGCTCTTGCTTAACTGTTTGACTCAAGGCTGGCGCTCTACCACTTGAGTCACACCCCTACTTCTGGATTTTACTGGCTAATTGGAGATAAGAATCTCCCAGACTTTTCTGCCTGGACTGGCTTTGAACTGTGATTCTCGGATCTAGCCTCCTGAGTAGCTGGGATTACAGGGTGAGCTACTGGCTTCAGCTTCACTTTTGTATTAACTGCTTTTATTGCTTATCTACCATTGTAAATCATATGCCATGCTAGCATGTCCTTAACATTATTTTCAGTTTTACTGTCCCTCTGTGATTAAGAGAGTTGTTCATATAAATCCCTTTATCCTTTTAGAGTAGTCCTCTGTCATTAATCCCTTTATTTTTGGTACCAGTCCTTGACTTTGAACTGAGGGCCTGGGTACTGTGCCTGAGCTTCTTTTACTCAAGGCTAGCCTTCTACCACTTGAGCCACAGCTCAATTTCTGGCTTTTTGCTGGCTAATTAGAGATAAGAGTTTCACAGACTTTCCTGCCCAGGCTGGCTTTGAACTATGACCATCAGATCTCAGCCTTCTGAATAGCTAGGATGACAGGCCTGAGCCAGCAGTGCCCAGCTATGAATCCCATTTTTAAAACAAGTCTTTAGATCATCTGACGGGAAAACCATCTTCTGAGGGTAAAGATGATAAGATGATAACAAGTTAGTATAAGCACATTTTTACATATCTATAATATTGTGATTGTTTCAACCTAGTGATAAAAATAATAGCCTCTTAGAGTTATAGCGGCCTGTAGATGTAATCTGGTTTCTGCCCATTACTTCTGGGTGTAATAGTTATCAGTCAGAACAGGATACTGTAGTAAAGGCAAAACAGTTAAATTCCCTCCTTAAATGTACCAGATTCACCTGTGGCCGGTAGCAAGACACTGACAGAAAGCTTGAATTTACGACTTATTTATTTATTTACTTATTTATTTATTTATTGTTGTGGGGCTTGAACTCAGAGCCTGGGTGCTGTCCCTGAACTTTTTTGCTCATGGCTAGCGCTCTACCACTTTGAGCACAGCACCACTTCCAGTTTTTAGGTGGTTCATTGGAGATAAGAGTTTCACAGCTTTTCCTGCCCAGGCTTTGAACTGCAATCCTCAGATCTCAGCCTCCTGAGTAACTAGGATGACAGGTATGAGGCCCTAGCATCCAGATTGATTTGTTTCCAGTACCCAACCCATCTTAAGTTTAAGCCAGCAGTTTTGTTTTGTTTTGTTGGTCATAGGGCTTGGACTGTGGGCCTGAGTGCTGTTCCTCAGCAATTCAGCTCAAGGCTAGCGCTCTACCACTTGAGCCACAGGGCCAATTCTGGTGGTTTATTGGAGATAAGAGTTTCATGGACTTTCCTGCCTGGGCTGGCTTTGAACTACGATCCTCAGATCTCAGCCTCCTGAGTAGCTAGCATTACAGGCATGAGCCACAGGTGCCTGGCGCCAGCAGTGTTTATAAGGCCGAGGGGACTCTGTCTAATGTGCATTGTGCTGGATCATGGGCAACTGTTTATTTTGGGTCCGGTTGTGGGCCTGAACTCTGAGCCTTGGGGCTGCCCCTTAGCTCTTTAGCTCAAGACCAGCGCTCTACCACTTGAGCCACAGCACCACTTCCAGCTTTTTTTTTTTTTTTTTGCTTATGGGTGCTGAGGAATCGAACCCAGGGCCTCAAGCATGCAAGGCAAGCACTTTACCACTGAGCCACCTTCCCAGCCCATGGGCAAGTGTTTAATACACATGAAATGACTGGAACTCCATCTAGTTTGAATATGGCTAAGCATCCTCCAGGAACAGGTGTGATGTGTTGAAGTTCTTCCAGGAGGTGATGGCATGTTTAGAAGAGGGGCCTAGTAGAAAGAAATTGGGTCCTCAAGGAAGCGCAGCCCCTTAGGTAAACCACAGGCTCCCCACTATGATTGACTGCCTTGCCACACGCCCAAAAGTCATGAGCCACGCGGCCACAGACCACGATCTATGGGACTGAGAGCTACACTGACTTTTCTTTGTAAGTTGATTGCCTTGGGTAGTTGTCATGGTAACAGAAGGCTAATACAGAGACTGGTACCAAGAAGTGGGGGGACCTTTGCTGGTCCAGAGCCTTTGAAACCAAGAAAATATGGAGATGTTTGAAGAAGCCGGTTAGCAAAAACCTCCCATGTTCACAGAGCTTAATGGCTGGGACTGGGAGCAGAGTGTGCATGGGAATGAGTACAGTACAGATTTCAGGTGGGAATAATGACTCACAGGAAGGCACTCGTGTTACATCACGGTGAAAACTGCGAGTTGCTTTTGTCTGGGCCCTGAGACTTTGTGGGAGGTTGACTGAAAGATGACTAGAGTTCATCTCCCAGAGACAGCCAAGCAATTCCAGCCATGACGGGGCGTTGCTGGCTGCTTTGGATTTTCAGTTGAGAATTTGCAGCAAAAAGCCCAGCAGAGAAGTGTTTTAAAAAAAATGCAATGTGGACAAAAAAGGAGTGCATTGAAAATTGCTACCAAGCCAAGGTAGGGGCCATTTGCCATTGACACCAGTATAGGACTTTGCACTGGCACAACAGGAAAGATGAGTTTGGAACTGCAGAAACCCCTGCCCATAGTAAGTGGAAGGTATAAAGTCATTTCCAGAACTTTCCTTAGAAAAGAGACCTGCCCCCTCCCCCATGCCTTCCAGGGAATTCCTCCCTCCGAATATTTTCCTGTGTTCAGCCATCAAGATGTGCTCAGCGGCTTCTTCAGCTCACGAGGACCGCCTGGCAGCTCATGCTGGGGGCAGACCCCTGATCTCCCCGCCGCCCCCCCCATCTCCCCGCCGCCCCCCCCCCATGCCCTCCGAACTCCCATACCGATGTTGCAGGCATTTGTAGTATGCAAGCGTTAAGGAGTCATGGAGGCGTGCTCTGAGATTTCAAGGGAAAGTCCAGAAGGCCAAGGCTACAAAGTGGCCAAGTTAAGTCCCTGCCAGCACCCAAGGGGGGGCGGGGCAGGCACAGAGCTGTGTGGACTTGCACATGGTGGGGAGAATGGAGAGGGGGCATTGCCATGCGCCTGTGCAGAGCCAGCTCCAGCGTAAGGGGGTGGTGCAGGCTGTGGCCAGCCAGGGTGGCAGCTCCATCCTCCTTCCACTCTCCCGATGTCAGAAGTGGGGACAGAAATTCATGTTTGTGCTATGGGTCAGTCGCCCTTTTGACTGATTTTGTCGATCATGGGGCTTGAACTCTGGGCCTGGGCGCTGTCCCTCAGCTCTTCAGCTCAAGGTGAGCGCTCTACACTTGAGCCACAGTGCCACTTATGGTTTTCTGATGATTTATTGGAGACAAGAGTCTCATGGACCTTCCTTCCTGGGCTGGCTTTGAATCGCGATCCTCAGATCTCAGCCTCCTGAGTAACTGGGATGACAGGCGTGAATCACCAGTGCCTGGCTCTTTTTATTTATTTTTTTGATGCTGGTCCTGGGGCTTGAACTCAGGGTCTGGGCACTGTCCTTGAGCTTTTTAGTTCAAAACCAGTGCTCTACCGCTTGAACCACAGCTCCACTACTGGAGGTGTTTTGTTTTTTTTTTGGGGGGGTGGTAGTTAACTAGAGATAAGAGTGTCATAGACTTTCCTGCCCAGGCTGGCTTTGAGCTGTGATGCTCAGATCTCAGCCTCCTGAGTAGCTAGGATGACAGGCGTGAACCGCCAGCGCCTGCATTGGCTTTGAGTTTTGAAGGAGACTTTGAAATGTGGACTTTCAAGTCATTCTGGAAAAGATGTGGGAGAGGAGGGACTCTGGGGGAAAAGGACTAAATGGGTTTGGCACTGAGATGCAGCGGGGTGAGGGAGGGGCGGGGTGCTATCACTTGGGTCGGATTCCTGTGAGGCCAGTGTTAAAGGTTTGGTTGGCAGTGCTTTAGGAAACACAGTGGCACCTTTAATGCCACCTAGAAGGTCAGGCAGTTGAGTCTGCCCTTTCCGAAAGGCCTAGAATGTCAGCACTGTCTTCCTCCTTTGCCTCCTGGCTGCCACATTCCCTGCTGCAGTGACTCGAAAGTGCCAGGCCAAGTGGAGCCTCTGAAATCACTAGCCCACATGAACCTTTCTTCTTCTTAAGCTCATTGTCTCAGGTATTTTGTCATCACAAGGAAGAGCTGGCTAATGGAGTGTGGATAGCGAAAAACTGTTAGCTTAATTTGTATTCAAACCAGATGCTGATGTCCCTGTGAATTAAGATTGGGGGGGTTGTATGTCAATACATTTTCTGAAACTCTGCCTTTTGGTTTGTTGCGTCACAGCGGGCTGGGCAAAGGTCAGTTTTAATCTTGCTTAGGAAAATCATGGCTGGTAGAATGAATATTTGGGGCAGGGCAGGGGGTCCTTATGAATTACCACCAACTGTCAGTTCTTCAGAGTGTAAAGTACAAAACTCTGTGTGTGCATGTGTGCACACACACGTGCATGTGTGTGCGGGCGTGTGTCTGTCCTGGGCTAGAACTCAGAATCTCATGCTCTTATTTGGCCCTTGTTGCTCAAGGCTGGCACTCTACCACTTGAACTACACCTCTACTTCCAGCTTTTTGCTGGCTAATTGGAAATAAGAGTCTTGGTTTGGGGGCTAGGAAGGTGGCTTAGTAGAGTGCTTGTCTAACACGCATGAAGCCCTGGGTTCGATTCCTCAGTACCACATACACAGAAAAAGCTGGAAGTGGTGCTGTGGCTCAAGTGGTAGAGTGCTAGCCTTGAGCAAAAGCAGCTCAGGGACAGTGCCCAGGCCCTGAGTTCAAGCCCCAGGACTGGCAAAAAAAAAAAAAGTCTTGGTTTTGTCTGCCTGGACTGGCTTCAAACCACAATCCTCTGATCTCAGCCTCCTGAGTCTCTAGGATTAGAAATAAGCCACCAGTGCCTGGTTGTATCATGCTTTTCTTCCCCTCTCCCCAAACGTGAGTTGAAATATTCATTTCTGTGTAATAAATACTCTTGACCTTTTTCATGCATCTTTTTTTTTTTTTGCCCAAACTTAACTAGAATTGAAAAAAAAATCTTGAAGGGCCAACAACAAAGCTGGGTAGCTTGATCACAGGAAATGCGTTGCTATTAAGAACAGCCTCCCTCAGCTGCAGGTGCACAGTGAGCATCAGACACAGGGTTCTGGGCTCACGCATCCTCCTTGGCCATCAGAGGCTGCAAGAACAGGCCCGCGGTCCCCAGGATGCACACGAGGATGAAGAGCCACAGAAAGATGCGGTCGATCACCATGGCGACGTACTTCCAGTCATCTTGAATCTGAAAACCAACCAAAGCCACAAAATGAATGCATTTTCATTGAAGACGTCATTCTACAGCAGGAGCTGAAAAGCCCATGTTATCTTCAGGATGCAGAAGGCTTTTTTGGGGGGGGGGGTGGAGGGGAGGTGGAGGGAGGGTTGGTCATGAAGTTTGAACTCAGGGCCTAGGTGGTATCCCTGAGATTCTTTGTTTTTTTTTTTGCTCAAGGCTAGTGCTCTACCACTTTGAGCCACAGCACCATTTCCATTTTTTAGGTGGTTCATTAGAGGTGAAAGTCTCACAGCTTTTCCTGCCCAGGCTGGCTTTGAACTGTAATCCTCCGATCTCAGCCTCCTGAATAGCTAGGATGACAGACATGAGCCACCAGCGCCTGGCTTTTTGTTTTCTTCTAAACTATGTGGTCTCAGGAAATTATCATGGTCAACTCTAGGCAATGGAGAAACAGGCATGAATAAGCCATGTCAGCAGGCCAGGCTTTCAAACCACCTTCTTCAGCTTCCCTTTGCTGGAACTAGAGGTGTGAACTACCACACCCAACTTTATAAATTTCCCTCCTTCCTTACCTCCTCTCTCTCTTTCTTCTTGTTTGATTCTGGAGTTTGAACTTAGAATTTTGCACTTGCTAAGCAAGTATTCTACTGCATGTGTGTGTGTGTGTGTGTGTGTGTGTGTTAGTCTTGGGGCTTGAACTCAGGGCCTCGGTGCTGTCTTTGAGCTTTATTGCTCACCGGCGCTCACTGCTAATACCTTCCACCATATGTTCCAAAAGTTAAAAAAAAAAGAAAAGGACCAGACAAGCCCAACCATCCCTCTCTTTCCCTTGGCTCCACCTTATACACCCCCGTCTTCTTCTTTTTTTTTTTGGTTGGTCGTGGGGCCTGAACTCTGGGCCTGTGTGCTGTCCCTCAGCTCCTCAGCTCAAGGCTAGTGTTCTACCACTTAAGCCACAGTGCCACTTCTGGCTTTTTCTGCTTATGTGGTGCTAAGGAATTGAACCCAGGGCCTCATGCATGCGAGGCAAGTGTACTCTTCCACTGAGCCACCTTCCCAGCCCCAACACCCCCATCTTCAACTGGAATCTGATACACAGACCAAATAGGCTGAACACCAGGATAATTGCTGAAATTGCAGGAATATAAGACAGCCGAGCATCATAGTGCACACCTGTAATCTTCCTGAGATCTGAGGATCAAGGTTCCAAGCCAAGCCAGGTAGACAAATCCAAGAGAATCTTATCTCTGATGAATCAACAATAAGCTGGAAGTGGAGGTGTGGCTCAGCTGATAGAGCACCAGCCTTGAGTGATAAAGTCAGCACACAAGGCCCTGAGTTCAAGCCAGTTCAGTACCAGTATGAGAGCAGGCAAGAGAAAGAGGAGGGGGTAGAGAAAGAGAGCAAGACTTATTGTACATAATACAGCTTCAATTTAGTGTTCAGACAGGAAGGAAGAGCAATTAAACTCCAGCAATCCAGAGAGCAAAGAAAGCATAATTAAATTGAGGGGGTGGGGCATGCATCCATTGATTTGAAGCAATAATCACATAAGAGGCAGCCTGTAATTTCTGTGATTCAATTACATGCACTGACACAAGGCTGGAGGCTGTAGACTGTATTTCACCCTGACGGGCTGCAGTGTCCTGGTCCTCTCCATAACACAGAGAGTCATTGTAAGGTTAGAATCTAGTTAGGACAGTGTTCTGGGTGGCTCACACCTGTCATCCTAGCTACTCAGGAGGCTGGGATCTGAGGACTGTGGTCCAAAGCCAGCCCGGGTAGACAAATCGGAGAGACTTATACAAATTAAACAGCCCAAACCCAGCAGTGGAGGTGTGGTTCAAGTGGTAGAGCACCAGGCTTGAGTGAAAAAGCTCAAGGACAGCGCCCAGGCCCTGAGTTCAAGCCCTAGGACTGGCATTAAAATAAAAATAAAGGCTGTGGGCTCAGGCCTGACAGGACTCAAGAGCTGCCTGAGGGGTTTCTTCCTGCTCACGAGAGAGCAAGTACCTTGCATGGCTCACAGTTCTGCAGAAATAGCTCAGTTTCCTTAGTCTCTGGCTTCCATTTGACTGGGGTTTTTCTTTTGTTCTATTTTGGGGTGGTTTTTTTTTTTTTTGGTGCCAAGCTTGAACTCAGGGCCCTGGGCTGTGTTGGCTCAAGGCTAGCACTCTACCATATGAGCCACAGTTCCACTTCTGGCTTCTTTGCCGGTTCATTGGAAATAAGAATGTCATGGACTTTCCTGCCCCAGGGCTGGCTTTGAACTGTGATGCTCAGATCTCAGCCTCCTGAGTAGCTAGGATTATAGGCGTGAGCCACTGGTACCCAGCAAGTTTTTTTGGTTTGCTTTTGTTTTTTGCGCAATAAAAACCAGCTTGAACTCAGGGTCTGGGCTCTGTCCTGAGCCTCTCTGTGCTCAAGCTAGTGCTCTACCACTTGAGTCACAATGCCACTTCCATGGTTAACTGATTTTTGTCTGTGAACAATGAGCTCATGGCTATCTCTCACCTCTGATTCCATTGTTGTCCAGACTTCTCAGAACCTGTCTCCTTCTCCTGGGAGCTGCTTGAATCAAAAGCATTTTTTGTTTCCACTATGCTAGAGGCCAGATACTAGTAGCTCACACTTGAAATCCCAGCTACTCAGGAGGCTGAGGCCTGAGGACTGAGGTTCAAAGCCAGCCCAAGCAGAAAAGTCCATAAGACTCTAATCACCAATGAACCACCAAAAAGCTAGATGTAGAGCTGTGACTCAAGGGTAGAGTGCTAGCCTTAATGAAAATGTTAAGGGATGCATCGAGGCCCTGAGTTCAAGCCCTAGTACCAGCAGGAACATAAAAGAAATCATTTTTAAAGCCAGGTGCTGGTGGCTTACACCTGTCATCCTAGCTACTCAGGAGGCTGAGATCTGAGGATCATTATTCCAAGCCAGCCAGGGCAAGAGCCTGTGAGACTGTTAAATCCACTTAATCACCAGAAAAAAATGGAAGTGGCGCTGTGGCTCAAGTGGTAGAGCATTCGCCTTGAGCTGAAGAGCTTAGGGACAGCACCCAAGCCCAGAGTTCAAGCCCCACTACCAACAACAACAACAAAAATTAATTAAAAGATCATTTTAAAAGTGCGTATGGTAGGGGCTGTGAAGGTGGCGCAATGGTAGAGCGCTTGCCTTGCATGCATAAGGCCCTGGGTTTGATTCCTCAGCACCACATAAGCAGAAAAAGCCAGAAGTGGTGCTATGGCTCAAGTGGTAAAGCACTAATCTTGAGCTGAAGAGCTGAGGGACAGCGCCCAGGCCCAGAGTTCAGGCCCCACAACCGACAGAAAAAAAAAAAGGTGCATATGGCAAGAGTAGAGAATGCCTGCATTCTCTACCAGCTGGACCCTGGTAACTCACACCTTTAATTAATCTACGTACTCAGCTTTATCATCGCATTTTGTACATGATGAAGTAGCTAATGCACCCATGGAAATAGCAGTCTGAGCACAGCTTCTGACTCCAAAGTCTAACTCAGTCCTTCCTTCCTTCTTTTCTTCTTATACTGAAGCTTGAAAGCCAAGCAATCTACCAGTTGGGCCTCACCTCCAGAACCTTTTGCTTTTAGGTTAAGTTTTTTTTTTTTTCCAGACAGGACCTTCTGTTGTTTTATTTTTGTTTTTTTTTTTTTTTTTTTTTTTTAAAGGCAGACCTCAGACCATGATCCTCTTGCCTCCGCCTCCCCAAATAGCTGGGAGTACAGGTGTATGCCTCCATGCCCAGGTATTTTTTTAAAATGTCAGTAGTGGGGCTTGAACTCTCGGCCTGGGCGCTGTCCCTCAGCTCTTCAGCTCAAGGCGAAAGCTCTACCACTTGAGCTACAGTGCCACTTCTGGTGGTTAATTGGAGATAAGAATCTCACAAACTTTCCTGCCTGGGCTGGCTTTGAACCATGATCCTAAGATCTCAGCCTCCTGAGTAGCTAGGATGACAGGCGTGAGCCACTGACCCTTAGCCCAGCTTATGTTTTGAATACAGTGTCAGTAACTGTTGGAACTGTGATCCTCCTATCCTTAGCCTCTTGAGTAGCTGGGATTACAGGAATGTGCTATCACACCCAGCTCGGAGTCATTTCTTCAGCCCCCCACCCAATCCCCCTTGCTGCACAAGGAACACGCAAGTGTGCATTGGATGACTAACCACCATGTGTTATTCAGATACAGTAATTAGAATCTCTACCTCCTTAGCCTCATTCTGCGCTTTCATGTTTTCTGCGATGTACTTGACGCTGTGGATGGCGTCTCTGATTTCAGGTGACAGAGCGGAGAGGGACAGAGCGGCGTCGACAGACTCGGAGCTGGAGCTTCTGGTGAGGTTGGCGCTGAAGTTGGAGATCTTGACCCTGCGGTGCTGGCAGGCGGGGCAGGCGGTGTCGGGACACGGGTAGCCTGGCTTACAGCTTTTGGAATCGGTGCGGTTGAAACAATTCAGATTGGCGAGCTCGGCCCCGGAGAAGGCCCCAGGGACTGGGGGCCTGCTGCCCTCAGTGCTGGCCACCGGCCTGGTCATGAACATGACTTTGGGGAGAAGGTTCAAGAAGACGGTCTTCACCCAGGCTGGCATGGTGTGCGTGGTGGGAGTGCGGTAGTGCACGTTGAGCACGAACACGGTGATGACGATGGACAGTGTGACGAAAATCATGGTGAACAAGAGGTACTCGCCGATCAGAGGGATGACCAGAGAGGTGGACGGGATGGTTTCGGTGATGACCAGCAGGAAGACAGTGAGGGACAGCAGCACGGAGATACAGAGCGTGACCTTCTCGCCGCAGTCGGAGGGCAGATAGAAGACCAGCAGGGTGAGGAAGGAGATGAGCAGGCACGGGATGATGAGGTTGATGGTGTAGAACAAAGGCAGGCGCCGGATGTAGAGCGAGTAGGTGATGTCGGGGTAGATCTCCTCACAGCAGTTGTATTTAATGTCGTGTTTATACCCCGGGGCTTTGATGATGGTCCATTCCCCGCTTTCCCAGTAGTCTTTGAGGTTCATGGAATTGCCGATGAGAACCAGATCGATTTTCGCTTTGTCGTAGGACCAGGAACCGAACTTCATGGTGCAGTTTTGGTAATCGAATGGGAAATAGGTGACGTCGATTTTGCAGGAACTTTTGAAGATGGCGGGAGGGATCCAGGTCACCTCTCCTGTGTATTTGAGCAAAGCTTTGGTCTTGTCATCCACCTGGAAATCGCCAATGGCACTGAAATGACACACAGGGGCCGGGCCACAGCGCACCAGGGTCACCACCTCCCTGTTACCTGGCCCAGGCTTCAAATTCAACAGGTAAGAATGCTGGACACGAGCCTGGTGCTAGTGGCTCACGCCTGTCATCCCAGCTACTCAGGAGGTCTGAGATCTGAGGATCGTGGTTCAAAGCCAGCCCAGGCAGCTAAATCTGTAAGAGTCTTAGCTCCAATGATCCACCAAAAGACAGAAGTAGAGGTGTGATTCAAATGGTAAAGTGCCAGCCTTGAGCAAAAGAAGCTAAGGGACAGTGTTCAGGCCCTGAGTTCAAGCCCCAGGATCAGAACAACAACAACAAAGATAAAAGGAGCTGAACACTGATGTAGTCCTATCTACCCAAGGAGGCTGAGATCTGAAGATCATAGTTCAAAGCCAGCCCAGGCAGACAAATCCATGAGACTCTTATCTCCAATGAACCACCCCAAAGCTGGAAGTGGAACTGTGGCTCAAATAGTAGAGGCTTGAGCAGAAAAAGCTCAGAGATAGCACCAGGCCCTGAATTCAAGCACTGCGCTCACAAAATGACACGTTGAATGGAAACCTCTTAGTACAAGTGCTTAAGGATAATGAAAAAAATTTAAAGTTAACGACAACAAAAAATCAGCAGCGATGTAGCATGGCACGGTGTTAAATGTGATGTCACGGGGCTGGGAAGGTGGCTCAGTGGTAGAGCGCTTGCCTTGCATGCCTGAGGCCCTGGGTTCGATTCCTCAGCACCACATAAGAAAAAAGCCAAAAGCTGGAAGTGGCGCTGTGGCTCAAGTGGTAGAGTGCTAGCCATGAGCTGAAGAGCTGAGGGACAGCGCCCAGGCCCAGAGTTCAGGCCCCATGAACGGGGTGGGGGGTTGGGGGGGGTGGGGGGTGGGGGGGAGGGTGACATCCCATTTACCAATGGGATGCTGAGGCCCAGAGCCCCGCCCAACTCATCACCTGCCATGCCCCTCTTCCCTGGGATACCTCGCTCATTCCTTCTAAACCCCAGACGCCCCCAAAGGTCAGACAGGGATCCCCAACCGCTTTCATTAAACACAAGGAGGATTGTTGTGGAAGCAGGTGTTTAAGGCAGCTGGAGGGGGAGGGGGGGAAGGGGAAATTAAATTTAGTTACTGTCCCCTGCTCCCATCTCCTCTGGCCAAGGGGATGTGTGCACGTATGGGCTGTGAGGGGCTGCACCAGAAATGGGACCCAAGGGAGCTGTGAATTCTGCCTGGAGAGTGTCACCTTCTCCCTTCACTGCTTGCCAAATGAGTGATTCAATGATTATTCACTGGGCAGCCCATGACCAACTCCCCCCTCTCCACTCCCCCCCCCCCGCCCTCCTCCCCCCTCTCCACTCCCCCCCGCCCTCCTCCCCCCTCTCCACTCCCCCCCGCCCTCCTCCCCCCTCTCCACTCCCCCCCCCCGCCCTCCTCCCCCCTCTCCACTCCCCCCACCCTCCTCCCCCCTCTCCACTCCCCCCCGCCCTCCCCCCCCTCTCCACTCCCCCCCTCGCCCTCCCCCAGAGCCTCTTTGACCTTCAAGATCCCCATCAATGTCATGGTCTCAGCTACCTGTGCATTCCCTCTCCCCTTGCACGTTGCTGTGCATAGTAGATGCTCAAGTAATGGCTGCAGCCTAACATGAATCGGCCCTAGAGCTGAAGACCCCCAAGCCCCCAGCTGTCAGCCCTGATGGGGGGAAAGGACCAACCTGGCCAGCCCCCAAGAGAGAGGGCACCCCGCCCCCAGCACCTTACTTGTTATACAGTACAATGTCGGGCTTCCAGATCTTCTCCACGGGGACCCGCATGAATTCCACCCCTTTGTAGTCTGAGGGGTTCCATTTGAGCTTGTAATCATTCCAGATCTGGGGGAAAAGGGGGTCCGGAAGGACCAGGCTGGCTTCATTCTTGCTGGCACCCCTGCCACTGACCACAGAATGACCATTTGCTGGCCTGGGGCTGCGTCTGCCAGCTGCCCTACCTCCCACCCTGAGGGGACCCATCCCCCCACAATTCAGACAGCATAGCCCTTGACTAGAGCTATCTGGGGTCACTTCCTGGACTGTAACACTATTCCAAACCCATACATTGAGCTCCTGCTGTTTAAATCACTCTTCAGGCCCAGGGTGGTGGCACAAACCCCTGGAATCCCAGCCTAGATTTACATATTGAGAACGCAAAGGGTGACTTTGTCCAAAAAGAATTGTACTTATTCCCTGACTTATGAAATGGTAACTTCTCTGTACAACACCTTAATAATAACAATAAAATTACTACATACTTGTGTGTGTGTGTGTGTGTGTGTGTGTGTCTTTTTCAGAGAAGTCTTCAAACTCTACTAAGAAGATGCCTTCCACCCAAATGCTGGTGCTCACACCTGTAATCCCAGCTACTCAGGAGGCTGAGACCTGAGGATTGTGGTTTGAAGCCAGCCTGGCAGGAAAGTCTGTGGAACCTCCCCTCCCCCCGACCCCCAGTCAGTTGTGGAGTTTGTACTCAGAGCCTGGCAACATTGCTCACAGCTGGCACTCTACCACTGAGCCACTCTTCCCATTCTAGCATTGGAGATGAGTCTCACGAACTTTCCTGCCTGGGCTAGCTTTGAACTGTGATCCTCAGGAAGTGGTGCTGTGGCTCAAGTGGTAGAGCGCTCGCCTTGAGCTGAAGAGCTGAGGGACAGGGCCCAGGCCCAGAGTTCAAGCCCCACGACCGACAAAAAAGAAAAAAAAAGATTGAACTGTGATCCTCAGATCTCAGCCTCCTGAGTATTTTAGCATTGCAGGACTTTTATCTTCAATTAACACCCAAAAAAGCTGAAAGTGGAGCTGTAGCTCAAATGCTAGAGCACTAGCCTTGAGCAAAAGGAACTCAGTGACAGCTCCCAGGCCCTGAGTTCAAGCCCAAGCACTGGGGAAGGAAGGGAAGAAGGGAGGGAAGGAGGGAGGGAGGGAGATGTGTCTCAGTGGTAGAGTGCTTGCCTAGCTCGCATGGAGCCCTGGGTTCGATTCCTCAGTACCACATACAGAAAAAGCTAGAAGTGGTGCTGTGGCTCAAGTAAGGACAGTGCCTGAATTCAAGTCCCTCAAGGGAGGAGGGTGAGGGGGGTGGAGGGGGCTTGAAAGGCTCTTGGGACGGAGCTCTGGACCCCACGGGCGGGGGACAGGTGAGGCCACGGCCACAGGAGGAGGAGGGTCGTGGGGTGCTGGCGAGGGCGCTGGGTCCCCCGGGCGGGTCCCCGGGCGAGCGGCCGCAGCTCCGAGGCCCCCCGCCAGGCGGCAGTGTCGAGGCGCCCCCCGGCCACGCACCTGCTTGAGCCACAGGTTGGTCTCCATGATCTGATTGACCTCGTCCTGGAGAGGGAGACAGGGAAGCACGGGCGCGGGTGGCTCGGGGCTCTGGAGCCGCGCCCCCGCCCCTCCCCGCGCCCCGCGCCCGCGCCCGCACTCACCACCTTCACCAGCTGGGACATGGACACCTCGAACTGGATGATCACCGGGTCCGACACGTTGGCCACGGGCCGGATGATCTCGTTGTAGTCGGCGAACAGGTGCTCGAACAGCCGGAACTCCGCCTCGGAGGCGCGGGCGGCTGCGGGCGGGCGCGGGTCACCGCGGCCCGGCCTCCCCCCCACCCCGCGGGGCGCGCGGGGCTCCCCGATCCCCGCGGCCTCCGTTTCCTTCTCGGAGGCGGGGACGGCTCTTTCCGCCCCGGGCTCCCTCGCCGGCGCGGGAGTCCCAGCCCAGCCCCGCTCCTGCTGTGGCCACCGGCCTTTCTAGAAGCCAGATCCGAGGCTGGCTGCCTCCATCTCCAGCGTGAGCCATGTTTGAACCCCCAGCTCCAGCCCGGTGCGCGCGCGTGTGCGCGCATATGCCGGTCATGGGGCCTGAACTCTGGGCCTGGGCGCTGTCCCTCAGCTCTTCAGCTTAAGGCTAGTGCTCTACCACTTGAGCCACAGCGCCACTTCCGGCTTTTTCTGCTTATGTTGTGCTGAGGAATCGAACCCAGGGCCTCATGCATGCAAGGCAAGCGCTCTGCCACTGAGCCACCTTCCCAGCCTCTCCCTGGGCTTTCTCGCTCGAGGCCCGGTGCTCCTCACCACGTCTGGCTTTGGGGGTCCGGGTGGAGACGAACCCCACGGAGCTTCCGGCCCAAGTCGGTATGGACCGCGACCCTCGCATCTCAGCCTCCTGAGCGGCTGGGGTGGCAGCGCGCGGCCCGGCCCGGCTCCGCCCGGTTCAGGGGGCGCCTCGGCAGACGCCCTCCGCGCCCACGGGGCCCCTCGCGGCCGGCCCGGGGCTCCCGGCAGCGGGCCGGTCCTCCGAGGCCCGGGAGGTCGGCGGGGAGGCTCTCGGGGCAGACCGGGCAGAGAGGCGAGGCCGGGGCGCGGGGCCGGGGCGGAGGCCGGGACGGGGGTCCCGGGGCGGGGGCAGGGGCGCGGGGCCGGGGCGCGGGGCCGGGGCGGGGGCCGGGACGGGGGCCGGGGCGGGGGCCGGGGCGCGGGGCCGGGGCGCGGGGATCCGGGCGCGGGGCCGGGGCGCGGGGCCGGGGCGCGAGCCGGGGCGGGGGCCGGGGCGCGGGGCCGGGGCGCGAGCCGGGGCGGGGGCCGGGGCGGGGATCCGGGCGCGGGGCCGGGGCGCGGGGCCGGGGCTCGGGGATCCGGGCGCGGGGCCGGGGCGCGGGGCCGCCCTCTACGCCCGGCTCCGCCCGGAGACGACGCCTCCTCCCCGGCGGCCTCGCCCTCTCCCGCCACTTGTTCTCACTCGAGGCGCCGGAGCCCAGCCGGTGAGAAGGGCGTGGGGCGGCGGCCGCTCGGGACCCCAGCGCCCCAACCCGCGGCCGAGATCTGGGCTCGGCCCGCGCCCCCGAACCCCGAGCCCGCCGCGCCGCCCGCCGGGGCCGCCGCCCCGACCCGGATCCCGTTCTCCAGCGCCGCGCCCCGACCCCGCTCTCCAGAGCCCCGACCCCGCTCTCCAGCGCCGCCCCGACCCCGCTCTCCAGGGCCGCGCCCCGACCCCCGCTCTCCAGCGCCCCGACCCCGCTCTCCAGCGCCGCCCCGACCCCGCTCTCCAGAGCCCCGACCCCGCTCTCCAGCGCCGCCCCGACCCCGCTCTCCAGCGCCCCGACCCCGCTCTCCAGCGCCCCGACCCCCGCTCTCCAGAGCCCCGACCCCGCTCTCCAGCGCCGCCCCGACCCCGCTCTCCAGAGCCCCGACCCCCGCTCTCCAGCGCCGCCCCGACCCCGCTCTCCAGGGCCCCGACCCCCGCTCTCCAGCGCGTCCCCTTTGTACCCGGGCCCCGCCCCGCTCCCTTCCCAGGTCCCGGCACCCCGTGTCCCCCGAGTTCTCTCTCCTATCCCGGTCCCCTCTGCGCCCTGGGCAGTCCCTTCCCTGCTCCCGGTGTCCCCGATCCCCGATGTCTCCCGCAGCCCGGTCCCCGTCCCGGAGCGCCGCGCCCGTACCTGGCAGCAGCGGCAGCAGCAGCAGCAGCAGCAGCAGCGGCGGCGGCCGCGTCGACGCCAGGCGGACGTCCATGGCCTTCCGTCCAGGGACCCGGAGCTGGGGGTGCGCGGGCTCCTCTCAGGTCCGCGGTGGTGGGGGTTCTCCTGAACCCGCTAAAGCCGGAGTGTGCGGACCGCCAGGGGCGCGGCGAGCGGAGGGGCGTGGCGAGCGGAGGGGCGTGGCGAGCGGAGGGGCGTGGCGAGCGGCGACGAGGGGCGTGGCGAGCAGGGAGCATGGGCGCGGCGAGCGGAGGGGCGTGGCGAGCGGCGACGAGGGGGCGTGGCGAGCGGAGGGGCGTGGCGAGCGGAGGGGCGTGGCGAGCGGCGACGAGGGGCGTGGCGAGCAGGGAGCGTGGGCGTGGCGAGAGGAGGGGGCGGAGCAAGAGGTGGGCGGGGCTATTCGAGGGCAGGGCGAGCGTCGGAGGGCGGGGCGAGAGCAGAGGGCGGGGCAAGAGGATGGGGAAGGGGGATGTGGGATGAGGGGAGGGAGGGGAGGGGCGGGGTGGGAGGGGCAGGCAAGAGCCGGAGGGGCTCCATCTGGGAGTGCGGGCTCTGGGCCCTGTCCCTGTGCCAGGTGACCTGTGCACTGTGGAGGACCCCCCCCCGCCCCCCCCACACATCCTCAGCCACCTGGTGATCAGACACAGGCTCCAGCCTGCTGGGGTGGGCTGGGGGCCGGGTGAGATCAGACACGGGCTCCAGCCTGCTGGGGTGGGCTGGGGGCCGGGTGAGATCAGACACAGGCTCCAGCCTGCTGGGGTGGGCTGGGGGCGTGCCTGGCACCCAGCATCGCATCCTTCAGTACTTGTTAACTGTGTTAAGAGTGATTCTGTTTTCTTGTTTTCCTGTCTGTGTGTTCTTCGTTGTTTTTTTGTTTTGTTTTGTCCATCATGGGGCTTGAACTCGGCCTGGGCGCTGTCCCTCAGCTCTTCAGCTCAAGGCTGGCACTCTACCACTTGAGCCACAGCTCCACTTCCGGTTTTCTGGTGATTTATTGGAGATAAGAGTTTCACGGCCTTTCCTGCCCAGGCTGGCTTTGAACTGTGATCCTCAGATCTCAGCCTCCTGAGTAGCTAGGATGACAGGCGTGAGCCACCGGTGCTCGGCTATGTCTGTGTGTTCTTGAGTACTTATAGGTTGGGGAGAGTGGGTTGAACCTGCAATCTTAGCTACTCAGGAGGCTGAGATCTGTGGATCCTGGTTCAAAGCCAGTGTGTGTGTGTGTGTGTGTGTGTGTGTGTGAACAGGCTGTGTGACTCATCCCCAATGACCCACCAAAAAGCAGGAAGTGGAGCTATGACTCAAGTGATAGAGCGCCAGCCTTGAGCAGATAAAAGCTCAGGGACAGCACCTAGGCCCTGAGTTCAAGTCCTCAGCCTGGCACAGTGTGAGGGAGACAGGCCTGAATCAGGTGACCCCTGAGCTGTGAAGTCTTGAAGGAGAGGAGGAGCGCAAGTCACTCATTCATTTGAGAAATCTTTATTCTGCACCTGCTTGTGCTGTGTTCAGTCCCTAAAGCAATAAGGAAGGAGCAGCGCCCCGTCCTTGTGGCACACACACTCTAGTGGGTGGCGGTGGCTGGTACACAGCCGGAGGAACATGGTGAAGTCACAGGGGACTGTGTTGGAAGGAGTAATCACCGAGGGCTTCTTGCAGGAGGTGGTACTGGCGCCAAGGATCATGGGAGCTAATCCATGATGGATGAAGTGCGGGGAAGAACTTGGGACAGCAGAGGGCTTGGGGAATGTTGGACAAACAGCAAAGATTCTGAGTTGGAAAAAAAACGTGTGAGGGACAGACAGATGGCCAGGGATCTCAGGGCATAGGGGGGCGTGGTGGGAGATGGACGGGGGTGCAGGCCTGAGGATGGGCATGGGGTCAGTGGTGTTTACCTGACCCCAAGGGCCTGGACCAGGGAGGAAGCCTGAGTGCCTCCCACTACCCCCTTGCCCCTGCTGGAACTTTCCAGAAGGCAGTTCAGGACCCTTCTCTCTGTTCCTCTTGTGCCTCGAGCTGCTTTGATGGGAATTACCCCAAGTGTGGCCAGGAAGAAAGCAGCCATTTGCCCACCCCCATGACCCAGGGGTCCCCTGTGGGGTGGCCTAGGGGACTTTGGAAGGGGTGTGGGTCTGGAAGAGGGGGGGCAGGAAGAGCCCCACGGTGCCCAGGACGCACACGAACACAAAAACCCACAGGAACAGCCGGTCCACCACCATGGCCACAAACTTCCAGTCCTCCACGACCTGTGGGCAGACAGAAGGGCTGGTTAAAGGTGTGCAGCGCTGGGGACTCCTCCCATTCCTGCCCCCCTCGGACACGGCAGGGCCCCCAGGAACTGAACTACACAGAACAGCTTTGGGGTCACTAGTGCCACTGTCCCTCCAGGGATTGGCCTGCCTGTGCCTTGCTACTCAAAAACCAAGGATGTTGCTGGGTGCCAGTAGCTCATGCCTGTAATCCCAGCCACTCAGGAGGCTGAGATCTGAGGATCATGGCTGGAAGCCAGCCCAGGCAGGAAAGTCTGTGAGACTCGTAGGTCCAATGAACCAGCAGAAAACTGGAAGTGGAGTTGTGGTTCAGTGGTAGAGCACCAGCCTTGAGCAGAAAAAGCCAAGCAAGAGCCCGAGGCTCTGAATTGTCATGAATAGACCTGCGGCACAAACAGACTAACTCCTCGCCCAGACCTGATTAGAAATGACAGGTTCACAGTCCCAATGTTGGCAAAACCTTGGTCAACTTCCAGATGTCCTCATCTCCTTGGCACTGGGCGGAAGAGGCCCCAAAGAGAGGCCACGGTCCAGGTTCAGGTCCCCCGCCCTGCCCCCAACCCAGAAGGGCTCTGTGGAGTCTCTGGAGATACAAAGGCAGCTGATGTCACTGGCCTATGATGCGTGTCACCCCTCCGGGATACCCAGGAGCCAAAGCAGCTCCCTCACCCCCAGACAAACACCATGGGTGCTTCACCCTGAGACCCAGCAGCCTGGCCGCGCTCCTTGGCCTTCTTGGACCCTAATTCCAAATGGTGGATGAGTGTGCACATGCACACATGGGTATATGTGTGTGCGTGTGCCAGTACTGGGGCTTAAATTCAAGGCTTCATTGTCTTGCTTGGCTTTTTCCACCCAAAGCTGGTGCTCTACCACTTGAGCCACACTCCCGTTGCTAGTTTTGTTGTTTTTTTTTGTTTTTGCTGGGTCACTGGAGAGAAAAATCTTACAAACTCTCCTCCCTGGGCTGGCTTCTAAGCATGATCCTCAGATCTCAGCCTCCTGAATAGTTAGGACAGGCGGGAGCCACTGACACACCCCTCTCCACCCCCAGCAAGGCTACCATCTTGAGCAGCTGGCTGCAGAAGAGAATTCACGCCCTACATTCTATTTGTCAGCTGGTCTGGATTTTCTTAGCACAGAGTGAATATAGAGCTTGTCCGGCCTGCGCTCTTCATCCATGCTAACTAATGGAATGCTTTGCTTCCCCAGAGAACACAGGCCGAGGAAAGAAGAGAAAGGATAAGAGAAGGCATCTCTATCCATCAGCCACAAACCGTCTCCCTCCCAGCTCTCAGACCCCACTGTGCCCTCAGAACCCGTCCAAGCCAGGCAGGCACCAGCAGCGCATGCCTGTAATCCCTACCTACGCAGGAGGCTGAGACCTGAAGATGGAAGTTTTGAGGCCAGCCTGGGTAGGAAAGATTGTGAGACTCTTATCTCCAAATAAAAACTCCCTCCTCCCAATAAAAACACCCAAAGTGGCGTTGTGGCTCAAGTGGTAGAGCAGTGTGGCCTTGAGCAAAAGAAGCTCAGGGACAGCGCCCAGGACCGGCATCCCAAAATAAAAAATAAAATAGCTGTTCAAAAGACGATCTGATCTGGGTTGAAATGAAAACATGAAACTTGTGTCCAGTTTAGAAATGCGCACAGAGAATGTCTGTGACTACCTCATTCTGCGCCGTGTTCGATTATTATCAGGTGTGTTATTTGTTCGGCGGCATTATTTGAAGCTGGGGCAGCTACTCTGGCTGAGATCAGGTTCAAAACCAGCCTGGGCAGAAAAGCCTATGCGATCTTTATTTCCAATGAGCCACCAAAAAAGCTGGAAACGAAGCTGCGGCTCAAATGGTAGGTACACCAACCTTGAGTGGAAACAGCTTAAAAGGAAACAGGGTATCTGGGCCCTGAGTTCAAATCCCAGTACTAACACCAAAGCAAACCAACTCAGTTCTCCAGGAGTTTTGTGCATCCTAAATCTCTAAATCTGGAAATGCCAAACGGGTGGCTTGATCTCACCCACTCCACCCCCATGCATGGGCGGGTGGACAGGGAAGCCTGGACTTATAGACTTACACTCTGGTCCTGGTCGTTGCTCTTCATATGCTGGGCAATGAAGTTGACCCCCTCTAAAGCTTCCTGCACGTCTTGCTGGAATCTCCCTGAGCGCCGAGGCCGGAAGTCCTTGGGGACACCTGTCCGGTGACACCCCATGGGAGAAGTGGGGGTCGCCAGGGTGGGGTTCACAAAGTACATGGCGTTCCCATAGAGGTGGGAAGAGCTGGCCGGGGCCTCTGGCTTGCTCAGGGATAAGTGGCCGGGCTGAGGGGCCCGGGCTGGGGGATCATCCGGGCCGGGGCGTTTCATGAAGAGGAAGGTGGGCAGCTTGTGCAGGAAGCAGCGCTTGACCCAGGCGGCCATGGTGTGCGTGCTGGGCGAGCGGTGGTGGACGTTGAGCACGCACACCGTGGTGACGATCGAGAAGGTGACCAGCACCATGGTGAATAAGAGGTACTTGCCGATGAGGGGGACATCGAGGGAGGTGGGGGGCACGATCTTGGAGATGAGCAGCAGGAAGAACGTGAGAGCCAGCAGCACCGAGATGCACAGCGTCATCTTCTCGCCACAGTCCGAGGGCAGGTAGAAGACCAGGATGGCCAGCGAGGTGATGAGCACGCAGGGGATGATCAGGTTGATGGTGTAGAAGAGCGGCTTGCGCCTGATGATGAAGTCATAGGTGATGTCCACGTAGCTGGGGTCCCAGGGGTTCACCGTCCTGCGTCCCGGCAGGGCCAC